AAGATCCAACTTTGGGTCTTCATGGGCACAGACATTTCTGGTCACCATCAGTCAGCTGTGACCACATTGTCCTAAAGGAAAAACTCTTTACACTCATCTAATATCCACTGGATACCTGCCTTTCCCGGACTGACTCATACACGCCTTTTTACTGTTGGCTTCTCTTAGGCCGGATCTAAACAGGATCCATGCATGACATATGGATGACATGTCTAAGACTGTGTTAATCTACGATCGTGGCAACTTCCTCTTTCTTTTCTTTGGTGGGTGCAAGGAAATTGTTAAATGACCTGCTAAATGTGACGGCTTCTGTCTGGCATCAGCTGATGCCTAAAGACAAAACAGACGCTCGTGGCAAGAGCTTCTGCTTATGCTGTTGGCTACACTTTCACATTTCGGAGTCTCGAGAATTGCGAATTTCCGGCAGATCTGATTAGGTTGCTCCGTTTTCATTTGTGCTGTGGTTGTTACTGAGCTCAGACCAGGGCTGCCCTTTCCTGCTGGGCACTGGGCTCACGTGATCAGTCTTGAGTTCTCTGCTTCTTTGCTTTATCCTTTTCAAATAACCTGTTCAGCTTTTGAGAGCTAAAGTTTTATGCCTTAACCCACTCACTTCTCCCCACCTCCTAACATCTATGGCATCTGATTGAATAGGCCACCTTCTTCTCACCCATTTGGTCCATTAAATGACGGCGGGTCTTATAGCCAAAGGAGGCTCAGATCTGATTACATAAGGCCCTTCACTGTGGAACTTCTACTCCTCCCTCCCAACAGTGGGCAGCTTCTCTGGGGCAACCCGCTGAAGGAGGTAGACAAGTCCGGGTTTGAGAGGGTATATGCAACGTCCTACGTCTTCAGAACGGAAGTGGTGGGGTACAGAACCAGAAGCTTCTGCAGTCACTGGAGGGCAGGGGGCCAGGGCAATGGACGTGGCTCCCAGAGATCCAGACGGGCAAGGCTTGCCAGGAAGCACCCCCCGTGGTTTCAGCCTCCTGTGTGCCTGACATGGGGAGGTCTCCAGATGACATCTGGTGGCCACTGGCCAAATGCACACCTGCCTTCTGCTGTGCCAAAGGCCTGTCCTGAGCAGCCACCAGAGGAAAACTGCTTCTGTTTACTGTCTGCCTTCTCCCTTGTGGGGGACTCTAACCCCCACTGCTGGCAAGGCGGCCTGGGAAATGCGGCCTCCAGGCCACAAAGGGGAGAACCCAGCAAGGCCGGGGGTGTGGGGCGTGGCAACACCAGCTAGCGCTCCAGAACACTGCATGTTGGTCAGTCCGTACGTTCAACGTGAAGGAGCTTCATTTCTCTCACCTTCTCCAAACATAAAAAAGGTGTAATATATTCTTCCCTCTCTCACTGGACTGACTGCTGTGCCTTACGGAGTCTACAGACCCCAGCCCCTGACATCGGTGAACTTGAGCACCACAGGCCCACCAAAGGCAAGTGCAACAGTGAGGCCAAAGGTGGGGTGGGGCTCCCTAGGACCGTAGCCTACCTTGCCTGCCCCTTGCCCCTGAGGGGTTAGTTCTGCGAACAAACAAGCTTAGGTAAGTGCTTTGGTTCTTTAGCTGAAGAGCAGGACAGAGTCACTGGAGTGTTAGGACACTGAGCCCTCACAGTCGCCAGGAACTGGCTCACGTGCGCTATCATGAGCTTCCTGAGGCTCCTTTCCACGAACGCTGGGTCACCAACGTATGATGGAAGCAGCGTGGGGCGAGGAGTAGGTCTCTTATTCCTTATGGCTCACCCCTCGGGTTGCCAGTGCCCCTGGAGCCGAAGCAGGTGGTCCCGCGTGTCCGAAGTTGCTTCTAGAAGAGTAAGGAGAGTGGGGACGCTCGGGCTGAGGACTCTCCGTGGAGAGCTGCTTTCAAGGTTCAGTTTCATCAACCTTCAGGACAAAACGGGAAACGTCAGGAGGTCGAGGACGGAACCCCGTCTGCCATGCACTCTGAACGTAGGCCCCGGGCCGCACGTCCCCCGTGCCCGAGAGCCCTCCCTGGCTCCCTCCCTCGTTCCCTGGATCAGCCTCAGAGGACTGCGAAATACAAGCGAGTCCCAGCATCTCAGCGAAGCAGCAGCCCCGGAAGGTCAAACGTACTTCACTCGCTCAGCCGACTGTGAACGCGATCCCTTCGCAGCTCGGAAGGCGGGGCTTTTCCTCCCAACTACATCGTTCCTCTTCATGAGGTTCAGTTCTTTTCTAGTCGTATTACAGAAGGGCTTGGGTTTTTCATGCCTACAGTGGGGGCCTGGGTTTAAGTCTGGGAAGTCCCACCCTGGACACACACTCCGGGGCCGCCGCAACGATCAGAAATCACGCAAAGACGGAAGCAAACGCTCCACGCGCGCAGAGGGCCGCCGCGGTCAGCTTGCAGAATTCCGCCCGCTGGTGCTGGAAGGACGGCCTGAGAGGCAGAACCGAGGAAAGATCATTTTAAAAGCCCGGAGAGTTCCCGAGAGCCTAACGCGTTAGACCGTCTCTGGACTACAAGTCAACAAACCGGACGGCCGAGAGCAAGCGGGTCTGAATCACCCAAGTCCCAGACAAGCACAGTGACGCCCCGTTCCCGCCACTAGAGCATCAGCCCTGGAGGCTCGGTGGGGACCGCGTCAACCGGCAGACGTGCTGCCGCAGTGGGAGGAGTTTGTGGGCTTGAAGGCGTGGAGCAGAAGCTCCTGGCGTAGCCGACAGGGGCAAGGAGTCAGGTGCCGAAGGCGACACAGCCCCCGTCCTGAGCCTCTAAGGCTTTTGCACCCTGTAAGCTGGGAGAGCTGAAGGCAGAAAGGAAGTGTGGCTCCTGGCCCCCGGTGACAGAAGAGCAGCCAGAACCGCAGGCAGACGTAGGAGCTCGGGGACGGGGACAAGATTTGTGGGGGCCCTGGCCTCTTCTAGTGCACTCGCATCCTCAGTACCACGGCGAGCGGCAAGTGCTGAGCACAGACACAGCTCATGGATGGAACTTCGTGCTGCTCCCCGGGGGGCTCATTTAAGGTCCTACAGGACATCAGCCCTTCGCTGCTAATGATCTGCTTATCTGTAGAATGAGGGCAAGTGTTAACACTCGACTATCTGGACGTGCACGCAGACAACCACAAGCTTAGTAGTGCTTTTTTAAAAGATTTTATTTATTTGTGAGAGAGGAAGAGAGAGAGAGAACGTGAGCACTCAAGCAGAGGGAGAAACGGGCTTCCCGCTGAGTGGGGGGGCCCGACGTGGGGCTCCGTCCCAGGACCCTAGGATCATGACCTGAGCCCAAGGCTGACACTTAACCGACTGAGCCACCCAGGTGTCCTAGTAGAGCATTTATCAACTCTAATAAATTTGCATATTAATATCATGCAGTGAAAGCAAACAAAATCAAATCTGAGGCTTTGACATTATTGTGGTTTTAAAACTTTATTATATTTTAAAATCTGAAAACTGTAAAACATAGTATTCATACAAACACCTGAGGACTGCTCAACTGGGCACAGCATCTTTACGCAAACAATTTGAAAAACGATTAGGTTTAAATTACGATTTTGTCTCCTAACACAAAAGGAATAACATAGATAAAACCATCCTTTAAATAGTTGCATTCTTATATAAAGTACATTTGGTTTTCTGAAAAAGAAAATGTACATTCATGCCCCTGGTGTATATTTTATTGGCATTTACAACAAATGGCTAAGACTTTTAGCACAGATTCTCATAGCTTATCAACATTACCAAACTTAGACAAAGCAATTACTATAAACATATAGCACCATTTCCCCTTGAAAGTTCTAACTTTAAAAATAAAGCCCCAAATGATAAGTCAGATTTAATGCATCTTCCAAAATTTAGCAGAATAAATGGCTCAGAGCTAAGCAAAGTAAGTAGAAACATTGCATAGGACAGAGAGCTTCCCTGTATGAAAACCAACCTACGGATTGTTTCTTATCCCCTGAAGACAAAGCTGAGAGGTAATAGTAATAGCAAATGATGCACATATTTTTTTACAGAATAAAAACCTCTAACTATATAAATAGTTCACCATTACCTCTGTGGCAGTACAAAGTGCCATATTAAATTCAAAAAGAACAGATTTACTTGTTTATATACCTACAGGTATGGAATATATAAATAGGGTATAGTATCCATGTGAGGAATAAGCACAGACAATAAAATATTTATCTTTTAAAAATTTGGGCACAGGTGTCTTCATATAGAGATGTGAGAAATGACTGCCCAGTTAAATGTTTACACTTAGCGAAAATATGTAATGTTTTAAAATAATAGGTATATTATTGAAAAAATTTAATCGGACTCCATCCAAACCACCCTTGTAGTATAATATCTCCTGCATAAACAACCATTCTATTTATCGTACAATTGTTCAAAAGTTATTAAAAACTGATTAAGAACACTTTATGAAAGTTTATAAGCTTGCTTTTTTTCTTTAAATATGAACAAATATAACATACAGAGAAATAATAACAAAAGGATAATAATTTATATGGCTTTCCCTTTCTAGAAACTGGCAGAACAGAAACAGAACTTGCAGTAACAGACACAAAATATTTGGAGAAAGAGATCGTATCTACAGTTGCATCTTTAAATTTTCTTCTAAAGAAAACTTCTCACAGATTTCATTAGAGAACTTGTCAGTCCCTGATACTTCCCCCTTTGGGATTTAGCTGTTTTGGTTCTATATATATATACATTAACTGAAATCAAAGGTGTTTCTCTGTTTCCAGCATGAAAATACATTTGTAAACTGTATAATAAAATGATAAATTATAAACTGTAAAACAATAGACATAAAGAACTCCCAATTTGAATATGCTAATACTAACATGTAAATGGTTTTTAAAGAAGTAGATTGGACTATCATGTTGTTCTGCAATTCTGGATATAACAAATTTTAGAGGAACTGTCTACCAAACAAAAGCTTCTAAGAGAGTTAAAATATTTTTAAATTAAAAGTCACTAGGACAATTAAGAATTCTGTCCAGTCTAAACTTACACATTTTTTTCAATTGTATTTTCCTTCTTTAAGTTTTTCAATGTAGTAACATAACTTTAATGCCGGCCCCAGCTTCAGCCCCATGTACTTCATCATCACATCACTTTTGAGTAGTAGCAGAGCCTTCCCATCAATTTCCTACAGAGAGAAAGAAATTATAATTAATAATGCATTCATATTTTATCAAATTATATATAAAAACATGTAAAATCGAGAGCAGTTGTACATTCTCGATATATATTCTCTGAATATGTATTTATTTCCTGAAAACTATTAAAAGTATAATTCATACAGTAAGACATCATTTGATAGTTTTTAAATTCACTTCAAATTTTAAGAAAAAGGAAATTTAATCCAGTATCTTTCAAAATTGGCCTAAGCACCAAACTATCTGGTTTTAAATACTGTGTGTTGAATAAAATACTACATTATCTATGACAAAGTTTAGAAAGTTATGAATTGTAGAAACAAATTTCAGACGGTCACTAACTTTATTTAAAAAGGCTGGGAATATGAGGATGTCAGCATCAATGCAAACTGTAAATGTGTTACACAGTGTTGTCTTTATGTCGAAAGCTTATCGGTTAGTTGTCTGAAGCTAAACTAATTAAATGCTAAAACTAATTACTGACTTTCTTTAGAATACTGAAAAGGACAGAAGACATTTGGTCACCGATTTGTTAGAAAAGACTATAAACATTACTTAATAGACACAAGGCATCCTCCTAAAATTTTTTATTTCCTTAATTAACCAATTTATGTCGGAGAAGCATAGTAATTGGTATTCATGAGCTCCTATTTAAAATAAAACTACACTTAATCTTACACAGTTGCTGGATTCATTGGGCATCATTAACAGGGAGGACACCCTGTCACAGCTTGTGGTTACCCCCTCCTACTCACGGTCCTGGGGCCGAGCAGGGAGCAGGTGGGGAGGAGGATCCTTGTGGGAGAAGACATCTGAGAGTGGCCATGCTGAATCATCTTCTCTTGAGAACTTGAAGACTTGTAGTATTTTAGGTACTCGGGTACCAATTTAAAGCACAGATCCAGCCTCTACCATTTAAGAATCTAACTTTGGGTCAAGTAACCTTTCTCACATATGGAAAAATCAGTTGATAGGGTTCCCCCACCATCCACACCAATCAGCATCCATCCAACTGAAGGGCCTGCACAGAGGTCATTGAAAGGCATTACGGCAGGAAAACCGGATCAAAAGATACATTACATGTTGCCTGAAGAGGTCGGCGAGGGGGCCTGATATGTGAGGATCTTTATGTTTCATAAACTGTATCACTTCATCCACAGACCAGGTTGAAGGGTCCTTAGAGAAGCCTTGTTTCAGGACACTGGGGTCAGGTACAGCTATATAACTTGGAGCTTCAATGGGGGGAAAAAAGACAAATCATACTTGACCTGATCATTATCCTGAAAGAAGAGATGTTAGGTAGGGAGAATTGGTCCCATTCCTGGAACCTTCTGTTAAGCACCCCGGCAAGGACTCAGGTCTCCGAGCGAAGAATCCAGTGGAAGCGTAGATTAGGATGACCTGAGGATGGCTACCCAAGAGCACCCCATCTGACCTCCCCCAAACAACAAAAGTAGCTTCAGAGTTTACATTAAAGCTTCAAAAATCATAAGGCAGACTGATCAAATCTGAGGCCTTGTTGGCCACAGGCAAAGACAGCAAAAGATCTGTTGCTTGGGTTAAACTAGGTTAATCTAAGCTAACCTATTACTCTTTAAGTATTTCAGTGAATTTCTCTCTCTCTCTCTTATCTTGGTCTGTTGGATTAGGTTTCTTTTACTAGCTAAATACAATGGAAAGTCTCCAGATTTAGTTTTATAGTTACTTAAATTTATTCACTTTAATCAAGGAATTTCAATAACCCCATTATCGTTGAAAACCAAATTAGTTCTACCGAATCTCTCCCATGTATTCAATATGGATATTTTTAGTACCACTTTACTCTTTAAATTCCTGTCTCTTAAGGCTCAAATGCCTATCTGAATTTTGAAGAAAACAGAATTATTTTCTGCTTGGCTAGGTCAGAAGTAATTTTAACATTATACTGAATACCTCTCTCAAGCTTAATTGCATACTAATAGATATTCTGGTTGAATGTTTATAGGTAAAAAAATAATAATAATTTGAGACATAGAATAAAGTAAGTACTGATACCTCAAAAAGTTTTAGCTGTGCTATTCACCAAGTTGTGCTGTAATTTCTTTGTGTCCAGACAAGTATTTGTTTTACTCAAACAGATTGCTTGTCTCACAAAAGTCAGTATGTAATAAGATTGTAATTGCCAGGAAGATCTGTTTTTTTAAACCAGGACCGTCAACACAAATTTGGTCTTTTCTGGTGTGAATTAACCAAATATATACTTTTTCTTTCCTATCATCTGGGCTCTAGCCATTTTAGGGGCATTTTGAGTATTTACCCAGGTAAAGGGCAAAGAAAAACAAGATAAAGGAACTCAGAATGGTAAGTTTTTTTGTGTGTAGCTCAAAAGTGTACTTATTTTCTCTTTCAATGTCACAACTTTGATGTAAAACAAAAACTCTTTACTAAGACATACCCTTCCTTTCTCTTGTCAGAGATAAAAATGTTGGTCATATCTACTAAGAAATGTTACTGCATTGTTTCAACCCAAATGAAAATGATGATGGTATAGATCATGCCATGCTGAAGGCATTCTAACAATTTAGACAGAAAGTCTTCTCTAGTTCTAAGAAAGACTTAATTTAAGATGAAAAAATTATTGGCAAAGCTAATCAAGCTAATCATACCTCTAATTAACTTTTTTGTGGGATTTCTGGTTTATGTCATCAGAATCTGGTATAGTTATGTCTTAAATAACATGTAGATTTTATAGATTACTACAGATCTATAGATTACTACAGAAAAACTATATGCAAAAATATACTTTATGGTATAAAATTATAATTTTATCTTAAAAATAAAAACTGTAAGACATCTATTTTTAATTCATTATGGAAAAATCATTTAATTGGGCCCATATCTTTAAAACAATCAGAGAAGTTGCAAACATTAGTGTTATTCAAATAATTATATGTGAAAAACAATCAAAGTCCAGTCGTGCTTTTCTCCTGAATGGCTCTGTCTTATATACACTAGAATATCAGTTAAGTGTTTCTGAAATAAAGAAACGTGATTTGATTTTATCCACAACGTTACTGGATTTCTTTCCTATAATAAAAATGAACAGTTTATTTCATTAAAATAATGGGGCAGGACAAGAGGTTGTAAGAGTATCACCAGCAATCAGGGGCGGACTCAGCTTTAAGTCACAGTTCCAATACCTTGTAATGACACCTCGAGACAGTTTCCAAGTGAAATGCTTACCTATTCTCTGGAGATGGAAGCATCCCAGCAGTTAAGCATACAGCCTGGAATCAGAGTGCCTGGATTCAAGGACTGACCCAGCCACTTTCTAGCTGGGGACCTTAGTCAAGTGACTTCTCAGATTTCTCACATGGAAGTGTTTACCAGCATCTACATCTTAAGGAATTACTGTAAAGATGTACTGTATAAGGCTATATAAAATATTACATGCCTGGCACATGTCAGATAGTGATGAGGATGATGCTGATTTCCATTACTAATAAGTAAATTATCAGTAAGTAATATTATTACTATTAGTCTTTCCACTCCTGGAAAGACCAAAATCTTGGCTTCTCAAGCCCAAGTACAGGCTACTTTGGCATAGCAGTGTTAGTCATACATTTGAAAGTGAGACATTCAGTATCAGGGATAACCTTTTATAGCCTTTTACTGAGAAGACCTGTCTTCAGAGCTTATTTTGTGAAAATACCTAAAAATTCTGGACACGCTACCCCTTGATGAGATAAGCATCTACCATCAGACTCCTCGCACACATCACTCTGAAAGTGGAGACGATCTACATGAGGTGGGAGATGGGGGGATGACATTAAATATGTCGGAGCATGTATGCAGCGCAGTTGCCCATAGAAAACATCCATGAAGAAAAGCAATCAAGTTGGATGGTTCCTACTGCCTTCAATACTCACCTTGCCTAGATGCCTACCAGGAAAAAAGGGACAAAACATATTCCCACCCTTACCCCACCTTGCCCCACCCCTACCCCCCCCCTTCATCCTTAAAAGGGTACAGGGTAGCTATTTTTGCACATGGAAAACTAATCTGGCTTTTTCCAGATGGCAACAGGATGCTGCCCTGTGTACACATACTGTGTACTCCTGGTGGGTCGGAGGGAATAACTGAAGGTATGGAGAATGGGGAAACAGCTATAGCAACAGAGTACCAGAGCCAGAGCTGGGAGCCACACGCAAGCTGGAGTCAGGAAAAGTCTCAAAAGAGACAAGGAAGAGAGTACATCAGAGAGGAGAGGAAGTGCATCTTTCCAGGCCTCAGAGTCATAGGAGGTTTCTGAGTCCAGACGGTATCCAGTGAAATGATCAATTACAATGGAACCATTAATCAGAACAACTGATCTACGAAGTCTCTATGAGAGACATGGCTGGTGACCCAGATCCCCAGGGACAGTTCTATGCGGCCATGAGGATCAGAGCATCTATAGTGGCTTGAACCTGACAGCAATGTAAACAGGGAGGACTCAAAACTCCTCAATCTTGGCACTTTCTCCAATGTGATACACTCTCAGAGGATGCTGTTAGGCAAAGAAACCTTAAGGAGAAAGAAACACATTGGTTGAGAATCACTGTTTTTAAATATACCTTCACTTTTCTTCTGCATTTGGAATTTAACTTCATGGTGACTGCTCTTGGTAGATTTGGTCCCCACTAGTGCTGAACTTGAGGTGCTTGGCATGCTCGGAGAAAAACTCCTGGAGACTGCAGCATGAGTGCTTACAGGATTTCTGCTGGTAGGGCTTAAAGCATTTGCTGGATTTGGTGGTGAGTTTTTGGAATCTTCAGAAAGCTTTTCCTCTTTAGGCATGCCACTTCCCTCACAAGACAGTTGTTCTTCTACAAGAAAAAAAGACAAAGACAATGATCTTCAGTAGACTTATAGCTTAAATACTATTAAAAGTTCAAAACATCTCCAAAGCTTCAAGTCAAGCTATACTGAACCACAAACCTCTCACATAAAGTACATGGCCGCCTCCATTTCTTGGCATTTACAGTAATGGATACTGTCTCAAAATCCAAATTGATTCCACTATGTCTCCTGTATTTCTCATGGCAATTGTCCCTTCCCCGTCTTGCTACCTAAGGCTGTAAACACTTCACTAAAGCATTCATTTTTAGGAAGGCAGTTCTTCACAACTATTATAATATGATCATACAGTTGGCTTCTACCATTTGCTTACTACTTGGACACTCAAAAATTCCAGTGGGAAAAGGCACTAGTTTTTCTGTTCACTGTTTTATCAGCTTTTAGTAATACAGAGCTGAATGGAAAATGTTACTGTAACTGTTTCATTTTTATCTAAGGAGAAATGACCATTGTGTACTTCTGAAGGGAATGAAATGCTCAAGAAAACTGATGAAGTAGTAGTAGCCTAAATACTCAACTGATTTGGGCAAATACACACCCCCACCCAAAAGCATATAGTTAAATGGGAGTAGAGAGACTTTTCTTCCCATTCCAGGACCATGTAAATACTATTTACCTTTAGAAGCATACACCTTTGTTTTGGGGAGTTTAGGTGACACAGGAACAACATAAGGTGGAGGTTCCTGAGAAGGCCGTTTGGGGCTTTTTTGTGTTACATCTTCTTTAACTGTTTAAAAAAAAGGTGTTTGTTATAACTAACATTCTTTGAGCATTTTCAGATCATCAGCATATAACAATTCTGTTTCTAACGCATTTGCCTACTGTAACTTCATCAACAATTTATCAATTATTTGATTATTTATGACTAATATTTGTTGATTTCATCCCATTAAATATTCCAGTGACATCACATTCAGGAGCTAAAAGCATTATATCCAGGCATCATTTATTCTAGGGTCATCACATATCTCTATATCTCAGGAAGCAGTGAGGCGATCAATTATAATGTGTCTAAAAAGGCCTGGGAAAACTGTTCCCATGAAAAAAATAAAGTTAAGAATTCAGAGAAGGAGGAGGCAGTGTACAGTGGACATCTCGCTTTATAGGCAATAGTCCTGGCCCAGAGCTAGCTACCCTTACTATAACTAACTCTACAGCTTACTTATTATTAAAGCAAATGCATTTTTACCTAAAGGACCACTCTTTAAGGCATGATCCTGAAAGTAATCACATCTCAAATTACTAATTAGATTCTAAATATCTGTCAGTATCTTGATTTAACCTCCAACTAAAAGGAAAAATTAAGTGTAACAGAAATATAAAAAATCTGATAACAGAACCTGAGTGAGAAGAAAGAGTGCAATGAGAAAGTACCAAAGTCAAACTTCATCTGGTTCAAAATAGCTGGGGGCCAGGCGTAGGTGTGCTTCTTAAGATCCTCTGCTATCTGGTTACTGGCTGATTACTAAAGAGTCTAAGAGAGCTCTTACCACTTGGTTTTATTTTTAATCATGGACTACAAAAACCAATAGGCAAAACATATTTCAGTGAATGGCAAATATTTCTACAATTAGGATATTTAAATTCCTATAAAGAAAAAAATTGACTTTTTTCATACTCATTTAATGGTACAGAAAATTCAAATCCTAATGTATAGTTTTCTATAGATACATGTTACCTCAGAACCTTAGCAAGATCAGAAAATGTTTTCTTTTACTTATAATATTCTAATGCTTTCTTACAAAGTTAATGAAGCTGGTGTATGATCCACTATCTGGGGCTGATAAAACATAAAAATGACTCTTGACTTCTGCTTCTGGGTATTTTAGGAAGCTCAGGCACAAAACTTTTCCTGCAGAGATAACTAGAAAAAAGCCAAATAATTTGCAAAATACTTTAAGAGTCATCATAGAGAGGCACTTCCAGGATGACTGACTAAAGACCTCCAAAAATCCACTTCTTTATAAAAATAACAAAGAGACCAGCAAAATTAATTTTTTCAAAAACTCTGGACATTATGTAAAGGCTTACAACAATCCAAAAGGCATTTGTTCCAGAAAAAAGAGGCAGAACCTCCAAAAGAACAGCAAACTCTGTGGCATTTTATCTTCCCTACCATCATCCCCTTCACTGTTTTTGCAGCAGCTTTGCAAACCAACAGGTTCATAATTACTGTGGCTCTGAAAACCCCCACATCGTAGCAGTCACTGGAGGGAACACAATGGGTTTGGAGCTCTCAAAAGGCCCTATCCCCAAAGAACCATCACAATTTGACCAACCTTGAAGCTCAATAGAAAGCTCTGCTCTCAGGGCTTGTTTTATTGGACCTAAATCAGAGCGTCCTCGGTGTGAACGGTCCTATCTCTAAGGCATTGCTCAAACAAGCAAACAAACTGAATAAAATCCACAGTAGTAATTGTTTAACACTATAGTTGCCCAGTTGGCGCTGACAGGAAACCGACCCAAAAGCTTTAAAAACAAACCTGGAGAATAAAATGTCCATTAGGAGACATTGAAAACCACAGATATACTCCTGGGAATCTAGAAGGCCATATGCATGCATAAGGCTGTATCCATGCCCAGGAAAGACCTAAGACCTTAACTTAGGTCTTTCATTTCTTGCTGACCTTGAGGCTCTGCACAAAGCAGACTCGTAAACTGCCTCCCGGAATGTTCAAGGTAAAGTCCAACATATACATAAACTCTGTGGCAAAGGATGGGAGACATACTGGTTGCACACATTTATGGAAATCCCTGTCCAATCATTTGCTGAACACTAAGCTAAATGAGCAGACTTCAGTGGCCATATACAATAAATGAGCCCAGGAAGTCATTAGGTTTGTCCAGGAAAGTCACTATACCAAAGCACCAGCAAGGGAAGGGGTAAAATCTGATCTTCAGAGTTACTGCTTTACACTCTTATGTCCAGTTTTCAATTAAAAATTAGGAGACATGCAAGAAACATCAAAGTATGGCCCATAAAAAGGGGGGAAAACAGTCAATAGAAACTGCCTCTGAGAAAGTGCAGATACTAGAGTTAGCAGACAAGGTCTTTAAATCAGCCGTTTATGTTCAGAGATCTAGAAAAATAATAATCATGTCTAAGGAACTAAAGGAAAGTATGAGAACAAAGTCTCACCAAATAGAGACTATCGATAAAATGATAAAAATAACAAAAAAGAACAAAATCAAAATTTAGGACTTGAAAAGTAGTATAAATGAAATGAAACATTCACTAGAAGGGCTCCACAGCAGATTTGAACTAGCAGAAGAAAAAAATCAGCAAATTTAAAGAAAGGTCAACTGAGATGATAAAGTCTAAGGAACAGAAAGAAAAAAGAATGAGGGCAAATGAACAGGCCCCCGAGACCTGTGGGGTGCCATCAAGGACACCAAAATACACATAATGTTAGATTTCCAGAAGGAGAGGTGACAGAGAGAAAGGGACAGAAAGAATATTTGAAAAAGTAATGGCTAAATGTTTCCCAGATTTGATGAAAAGCATTAATCTGAACATCCAAAAAATTCAACTATCTCCAACGAGGATAAATTAAAAGATATCCACACCTAGAAAAAACACAGTCAAACTATCAAAAGCAAAAGACAATCTTGAAATTAGCAAGAGAAAAGCAAATCATCATACAAGGGATCTTCAATAAGATTAACAACTGACTTCTCATCAGAAACTACAGAGGCTAACAGGAAGTAGTATGATATATTCAAACTGCTAAAAAAAAAAGACAGTCAAATAAGAATTCTACCTCCAACAAAACTAGAGTTTAAAAAATGAAGGAGAGGGTGCCTGGGTGGCTCAGTGGGTTAAAGCCTCTGCCTTCGGCTCCGATCATCCTGGGGTCCTGTGATCGAGCCTCGCATCAGGTTCTCTGCTCGGCAAGGAGCCTGCTGCCCCCTCTCTCTCTTTACCTGCCTCTCTGCCTACCTGTGATCTCTGTCAAATAAATAAATAAAAATCTTTTTTAAAAAAATGAAGGAGAAATAAATTCTTCACAAATAAAAAGTGAGGGGCCCCTGGATGGCTCAACTGGATAAGCATCTGACTGTTGATTTTGGCTCACATCATGACCTCAGGGTGGTGGGATCAAGCCCCGTGTCAGGCTCTGCCCTGAGGGAAGTCTGCTTGAGATTCTCTCTCCTTCTCTTTCTGCCCCTCCCCCTGTTCTCTCTCTCCCTAAAATACTTTTTTTTTTTAAGTGAGAAAATTTGGGGCACCTGGGTGGCTCAGTCAGTTGACCATCTCCCTTTGGCACAGGTCATGATACTGGGGTACTGGGATTGAGTCCCAAGTAGGGCTCTCTGCTCTGCAGGGAGCCTGCTTGTCCCTTTCCCTCTGCCTGCTGCTCCTCCTGCTTGGCCTTGCTCTCTGTCAAATAAATAAACTCTTCAAAAAAATAATTTTTTTTTAAAAAGTGAGAAAATTCCTCACTTGAACAGCTTACCTACAAGAAATGAAATGACATTCAACAGTGACTCAAATCCACATAAAAAGTTAAAGAATACTGGGGCATCTGGGTGGCTCAGTCATTAAGCATCTGCCTTTGGCTCAGGTCATGATCTCCAGGTCCTGAGACAGAGCCCCATGTTGGGCTCCCAGTTCAGTAGGGAGTCTGCTTCTCCCTCTCCCTCTGCCTCTCCCCCTGCTTGTGCTCTCTTTGTCTCTCAAATGAATAAATTAAATCTTTAAAGAATAATAAAATGTTTAGGGATGAATTTAGCAAAAGAAGTGCCAGATGTGCTTTTTGAAAACTACAAAATAGTACTGAAATAAAGGAAGACCTAAATACATTGACATCCCATATTCATGAACTAGAAGATGTGATATTAATTTTTAAGAGATTTTATTTATTTATTTACTTACTCACTTATTTGAGTTGGGAGGGAGACTAAACACTCAAGCAAGGGAGGAGTACAGGGAGAGGGACAAGCAGACTCCATGCTGAGCATGGAACTGGATGCAAGGCTCAATTCTAAGACCCTGAGATCATAACCTGAGCTGAAATCAAGAGCCACCCAGGCACCCCAAAGACTCAATATTATTAGATGGCAATAATCCCCGAATTGATCCACAGATGGAACATAATTTCTACTAAAATCCCAGCAGAAATTGACAAGTGGAACTTAAAAATCATATGGAAACCCAGAACTGCCAAAACAATCTTGAAAAAAGGAAAACGAAGTTGGAAAACTCACACTTCCCAATTTCAAAACTTACTACAAAAAGCTATAGTGATCAAGATCATGGGGTACGGGGGTGCCTGAGTGGCTCAGTTGGTTAAGTGTCTGCCTTTGGCTCAGGTCATGATCTCAGGGTCCCATACCCCTGCTTGTGCGCTCTCTGTCAAATAAATAAAATCTTTAAAAAAAAAAAAGGGTAGTATGATACTGCCATGAGGATTGACATACAGATCAATGAAAAATAAAATCCAGGAATAAATCCACATATTTACAGCCAACTGATTTTTCACAAGACAAGTCAATAGGGAAAGAGTAGTCTTTGCAACAAATGGTGCTGGGACAATTAGATATTCACATGTGAAAGAATGAAATTAGACCCTATTTCACTGTATATAGAAAAATCAATTCAAAATAGATCAATAACTATATCAGCTAAAACTATAAAATCTTAGGAGTAAACATAGGAGTAATCTTTGTGAAATTGTACTAAGGAATATTTTCTTAGGTATAACACCAAAAGTACAAGAAATAAAAGGAAAAAAATAGATAAATTGGACTTCATGAAATTAAAAATTTTTGTGCTTCAAAGGACACCATCAAGAAAGTGAACAGACAACCTACGGAACAAAGAAAATATATGCAAAGGATATTTCTGATATGGAACTTTATCCAGAATATATACAGAATATAACTATAACAGATATAAGAGGCACAAATATATTTTATTTCTATGTAGTAAAAAGACAAAGAACCCAATTAAAAATAGAGAAAGGGTTTAAATAGACATTTCTGCAAAGAAGATCTACAAATAGCCAATAAGCACATGAAAAGATGCTTAACCTCAGCCATTAGGGAAATGCAAGTCAAACCACAGGATACTTTTCACGTTTTGAGTCTCAACTTCATTATGAATATAAGAAACTATTTGTCCACTTTGAATGAACAAAAACAACTATATATTATACATGTCTAATTAGTTCATGGTGGCTAAAACGTTTACTTTGAGGAGGACACTAAATTATACAAGATTCTCGTATTAATTATAAAATAGAAGCACAGTATAAAATTTTACATTTTCTCTCACCTGATTTTTTATCATGCTCTGCAGGACTACAAGTATTACCTCTGTAAGAGCTAAAAGGCTGGCTACTCAAAAGGTTATCACACTGTAAGCTGTGGCATAAAGTCTCAAGAAAGCGAAGAGCAAATGATGCACTATTCACTGGAGGGAGCTGGACAGAGTGGGTTTCCCCATCAAAGGAAGCTATTGGGGGGAAAAGAGATGTCAGAATTACCTCATAGAAAGATAAAACTACAACATCAAAAAAGCCATCAATTTTGGAAATATATTATTAATCTAACTTGCGGTTTTTGTAATTTGTAAAGGAATATTCTTAAATTACAAAGGCCCTTCTCATTCAAACACAATAGCCTATATTGGTAAAAGCATTCTCATTTAAAAAATATTCGTAAGGCAAACAACATCAAGGGCAGCAGCAGCAACCCAGTGATCTATAGCACTTCCGGCAACTCTAAGCATTCTGTGGGCATAAATGTAGTATCTGATCAATCATGAAAGGCAGTTGTATCTTATCTCACAAGCACTTCTTGAGTCACATTTTCACTTATAGCTTCTTACAGATCAGTCTGTTTTCTAAAAACATTAAAATATATTATCAACCAAGGTATTTTGCCTATAGTGAACTTAATAAAGCATGTAAAAAAAAAATCTTCTACCTCCATTTACAGTATGACTCTGACCATTGTCTACTTTGAACGTAAAGTTAAACTTTCCCAGAGTTAAAAGTCTATCAACAGGCATTTATTATAAATATTCTATTATATCAATGTAAGTATGCCAATATTATAAATAGTTAGTAAACTATAAGTATTATAAGATAATCTATATATTATAAAATCCTTGCCTTTTTAAAACCTAAAATCAATTCATAAGTAAAGCTGAATAAAGGATTAGTTGAGCATACCAGTTATCACTTCTCCTCCACGATGATCTGGCTTAAGAAATCCAAAAACAGTCTTACTTTCAATGGCACAATCGACACAAGCCTGCACGGTCCGCCGGAGCACCACATTCACGGGGCCCGGGCCAAAGTGGTCAGGCAGCTGCTGGATTTTCTTCTGATCCAAAAGAGGACCAGAGTTTCCATGTTTGTTTACATAGACACAGACTTCAGAAAACATGTGTATATAAATACAACAAAGAGATTGGTTAAAAGCAACATAAACACTACATAATTATTTACTATATCCCACTAGCCACACTTCACTCAAAGAGAACCCAAATATAAACTATCAACAATCATTTCTGCTACCTAAAAGTATATATGTAATTAATTTTTACATTTGTATAAAGATATTAAATCTAGAAATAATCCAAACACCTATTCAATTTTCTAGAATTTTGCCTAAAATAATTATAATAAAACCTATCCAACTTTTAGTAGCATCATAAAATAATTTAAGATTTTTTTTAAATTTATTTGAGAGAGAGAAAGAGAGATAGAGAGGGAACACAAGCAGGGAGAGTGGGGGAGGGTTGAGCAGGGAGCTGGATGCAGGACTCAATCCCAGGACCCTGGGATCATGACCTGAGCCTAAGGTAGATGCTTACCAACTGAGCCACCCAGGAGCCCCTCACAAAACAATTCTTCACACATTCCCACATCATGTAAAATGGTATAAAGATAAATACTTTCACCTTTTAACTGTATACACAGTACAAGAATTTTGTCAAAACTGGTCATGTTAATGTACTCTTTGGACTGAATTTATTTTAAATCACCAACATTGCACCTTCAGTGTATTTTCTAAAGTAACCGAATAATTTAAGATACATGTCACACAGTAAGTTCTAATGACCTAGAATAATTTTTTTCATTAACCTAAGGAAAATAAAAATGGCCTTTATATACCTGCCAAGGTTCACTAAAGAAAATTTAAAAATAACGCTTTCCTATGTATAATAAAAGCATATGACTTAGAAGCAAATCGTCTATAATCACACAAATGTCACATTTCCATATTTCTTCACTGAGAATCAATAAATATAAATCAACATACAATGTAACAATATGAGTACATTATTACCAAACATAAAATATACTGTCCCCCTAAATCAGGAAGCATGTGATTTTTATCCATTACCTAATTCATATTGCCAAATTTTACATTTACATGGTCTATATTCAGTACAATAATCTCAATTTCACTATGTTGAAATACATGATAATTTAACCTTGGGGCAATAGCCAAAGGAAGGATGGACTGCGTCACAGAAATGAAAGGGCTATTAAAAACTTAACCAGGGGGTGCCTGGGTGGCATAGTTGGTTGGGCGTCCGACTCTTGGTTTTGGCTCAGGTTGTAATTTTGGGATTGTGGGATCAAGCCTGGAGTTGGGATCCACACTAAGTGCAGAGTCTGCTTGAGAATCTCTCTCTCTCTTCCTCTACCCCTCCAGCTCATGCTCTCTCTCTCTCTCTCTCTTTCTCTCTAAAATAAGTAATAAATCTTTTTTAAAAAAATAAAAACCCATGTGCTGATGGGATGGACAAAGTCCTACTGAACACAAGTGACGCTAAACAAAGATTTCAATGTTTTATCTCCTTTGTGTTATACTTATTTAGCTAGTCTCTCCTGCCAACAGACAAAAAATCAGAAATAATAAACTGACAAAATGAGGTATGTTACAATAATCTGTAAGTGATTTCTATTTCAAAAAAATAATTTCTTTTTAATCAGGAAAGAAAAATTGGGGAGAAGGGTCCAAGGAACAGAAGAGTGTAAGAAAGACAAAGAACTAGGAGAAAAAGCAGTGGTACATGCTTTAAAAAAATAGGAAGGGAACAAGAAAACATAGAAGAGATGACAAATAAAAGGGGGATCTGTTCAGTCTAGGTTAGTGTCATTTCATGCTCTTCACATAACTGAGAATAATTTAAAGTCATCACGCCCCTTGACAGGTATGTCAAAATTTTAAAAGGCATTTTAAAAACATTGGAAGTAGCTTTAAAAGTACATACAAGACAAAAAGACACTGTGAAATAAGACAAAGGGAAAAGAAAAATAGATTTGACAATGCTGTAAATTTTGTAAATCTTACCAAGCTAAATAAAATACTTTAAGAGTAGTGAATTTTCAAGTGACTTGTGTATTTAAACAGTTTTCCTTAACATCAAAATGAACTAGAATATCAAAATACTTTAATACGAAAAATGCTAAGAAAAAACCCAAAAACATATCTTATCATCTTTTTTCCTCTTATTTTATTCCTCAAATTCAAAGACACTAAAATAACACAGAGTAAAAGATTAGTAATTTTATACCTTTTAAAAAATACTAATTTACCTGTTGACATCACTATTTTAGATGTACCAGGAGTGGCATCTTTATCATATGAAACACGACGGTCTCTGGCCAGGGATTTAATAGAAGCCGAAGACGTAGAACACAAAACAGGAAAATATTTTTCCTGTTTAAAAAAAAAGCACAAGCATAGATTATACATTTTTTAAAGATTCTTAGATAAGGAGGTCAGAAAATTATCAGCATCACTGGTCACAAATGATCAGCTGTCAGAAGTCCTTATGGTTGGAAACCCCTGTGTGTGTCACAAATTATAGTACTTTCCAAACTCTGCTCCTCAGAGAGGCCTATGAGCTGGTCAGGCAGGAGAAGAGACCAAGAGTATGGGATTCCCAGCATTACCCCTCCTCCAACTGGTCACACCTTAGCCAAATAGCTCACTCTACAAAACTTGTTATTTTCTGAGGTTCCCTGTTCGGCAAGTTTTTTTCACACTGCTAAAGTAAAGTCTGCAAATCCAATTCGGCAACACACCAAAATGGGGGTGGGGAACCTTAACAAGGCAGAGGACGGACTTTGTCTTTACAAAGCAGTCACTCATCTGGTTTTTACTGCATCTGGCCTGCATTTCTCCATATTATGTATGATAATTTTGACAAAATTACAAATGGTTTCCTAAAGTCCATATAAAATTATGCCTATTGTATATAAGAAACAGATGTCTTCTGGACATTCTTAAATATCATTAGTGTTTTTATTTATTTTATATCAACTTTGGGGTTTTCTTGGAGCTACCTTCAAACACGGCTCTCCAATGTCAGAGAAGGGGGTCTTGTACCTAGAAAAGGTAATAATAGAGGATATTTTAAAAGCAGGGACAAAGGAGGATAAAATAGGATAACATTCAATGTTGTATTTTCCTTGTTTAAATTAATGACTGTCATTTGGGTTCACTGTATTCTAGTAAATCATGTTTTTTTTTAAAGATTTTTATTTGTCAGAGAGAAAGAGAGCACAAGCAGGGGGAGAGGGAGGGTGAGAACCAGGCTCCCTGCTGAGCAGGAAGTCTGCCGCAGGACTCAATCCCAGGACCCTGGGATCATGACCTGAGCTAAAGGTAGATGCTTAACCAACTGAGCCACCCAGGCATCCCAAAATCATGTTATTTTTTAAGAACTGAATTATAATTATAGTGTTGATACATTCTCATCCTTTCAGTATGTTAAAAATCTGAATCTTTTGACTTAAGACATACCAAGACAGTTTGCTTCTATTAACACTGCAAATTGAATAAAGGGGCATTTATTTGAAAAATGTGCTTCTGTACTTCTAGAATCCTTAAAGAGGGGGTGTACGTAGACAGTTGACAAAGAGTCTACTGCAAGAATTATTTGTACTCTAGTTCAAAGACTTCCTAAATAATTAAATTATGGGGACACCTGGGTGGCTCAGTCAGGTAAGCATCTACCTTCAGCTCAGGTCATGACCCCGGGGACCGGGGATCAAGCCCCATGTCAGGCTCCCTGCTTCTCCCTCTCCCTCTTCCTTTTCCCACTCCATGCCTCCTCTGCTCCTGCTCACTCTCTCGCCCTCTCTTTCATATAAATAAATAAAAGTTTTTTAAAAAATCATTAAACTATGGTGTGACAGTACTGAAAAAGGGATATCGATAAATCCATGAGACTCTTCATCTTTTCATGATGAAATAATAAAGCTAAGAAGATGGTGAACTAAAATTCTTCCTTCGAAACAAAAAACAATTATCAAAAAAAATTATAGAGGAAAAAAAACACAAAAAATTATAGAATCTGTCTCGTGCCCCACCCTACCACCTTATAAACAATATTTCTTTAAAAGACTTTATTTATTCATTTGACAGAGAGAGACAACACAAGCAGGGGAAGTGGGAGAGGGAGAAGCAGGCTCCCTGCAGAGCAAGGAGCCCAATGTCAGGCTCAATCCCAGGACGCTGAGATCATGACCTGAGTCGAAGTCAGACACTTAATGACTGAGCCACCCAGGCACCTCTAAACAATATTTTCAAAAACACCTTTTTAAAATTGTCAAATTAAAAAAAAATAAAAATAAAAAAATAATAAAATTGTCAAATTAGCACTGGAATTATTTAAAAATAAAGGAGTGAAAAGAAACTTTATGGACTTAAATCTTCATCATTCTACCAACTAATCACAAAGACCCTTTTCAGCAAAATAAACATTAAAAGTATGCATCAAGGGCACCTGGGTGGCAGAGTCAGTTGAGCCTCTGACTCTTGGCTTCAGCTCAGGTTGTGAGCTCAGGGTCATAAGATCAAGCCCCAAGTCCTGCTCCATGCTCAGGGCAGAGTCTGCTTGGGACTCTCTCTCCCTCTCCCTCTGCCCCTCCCTACTGTGCTCTCTCTCCCTCTCAAATAAACAAACCTTTAAAAAATGCATCAATGACATCCTCAATACATTCCAGTTTTCAAAATGCATTTAAAATAAAGCATTATTTCCTTTTAAGTATCACAACCTTCCTTAATTTTATGCAATTTATTTTGAATTTGAAAACTTTAATCTGCTAATGATTTACATTAGAATAACCTGCTTATTTGATTTTTTAATGCTTATGATTTTATATTTGTAATATATCCACTGTTACTTTTAATTTTTATTTAAAAAATTTTAATGCTTTTTGAAATAAAAATACCAGTATTAATTTAAGCATTTTAAAATCAAGGGCGCCTGGGTGACTCAGTCGGTGAGTGTCTGCCTTCGGCTCGGGTTGTGATCCCGGGGTCCTGGGATTGAGCCCAGCATCAGGCTCCCTGCTCAGGGAGCCTGCTTCTCCTTCTCCCTCTGCTGCTCCCTTTGCCGCTCCCTCTGCCACTTCCCCTGCTTGTGCTTTCTCGCTCTCTTTCTTAAAGAAAAGAATAAATAGAATAAAATAAAATAAAAATGGCATTGTCATTTTGCTCCATACTATAAACATTAGTTGAAACAAAACAGAAATGTCATATATATTGATATCAGATGGCTGAACTCAGAAATGTTTATTACTGCTGAAATTTAATTTAGTTCTAATAAGATCTAGGAAGATTCTGTGTCCTTCTATTAAGAATATATCTCTTGTGGGGCCCCTGGGTGGTGCAGTTGGTTAAGCATCTGACACTTGGTTTCAGCTCAGGTCCTGATCTCAGGGTTGGGCTCCAAGTTCAGTGAGGAGTCTGCTGAAGTTTCTCTCTCTTCCTCTCCCTCTGCCCCTCCCCCTGCTTGCTCACTCATTCTCTGTTTCTTTCTCTGTCTCTAAATAAATAAATCTTAAAATATATATATTATGTAAAAAAAGGAAAAAATACATCTCTTGTAGAACACATATATTTGGGTCTTTTTAAAATCTATTTTTATAATCTCTTATCTTTTAATTGGAAAATTTAGTCCACTAACTTTTGAAGTAATTATTAATATTTTTGGGTTTGGGTATACCCTCATTATTTTCTTTTATCCCTCCCTAACCCCCCTTTATTATTTCCTTTCTATTTGTCTCCTCTGTGTTTTATTTCTCTATTCCTTCTTTCCTTTTTTTTTTAAGTACTTGTTGAATATTCCTTGGAATTCCATTTTAGTTTTCCTACTGGCTTTTTTAACTAGACTTCTTTGCATTTGTGTTTTTACAATATGCCCTGGGGATTACACTGTATAACCCACGTAGTTAATATTCTACTACTTAACATAAAATGTCGAAACCTTCCAATGACAGAAATCCATATCCCTACTCAAAGCCTTTATACTGTTATATGTATTACATCATATTATGTATTGATGTTATGTAATGATGTATTATATCATGCCATATATATTACATTGCCCCACAAGACCATATTATAATTATTGCTTTAGTCACATTAGTATAAAGAAATTAAGAGGAAAAAAAGCAAAAAACAAATCATTCACATTTACCCAGACGTAAACTTCCTTCAGGATTTCTTATAGTGCTTATCTGCCAGTGTGGAATTCTCTAAGTATGCTTTTATCGAAAATATCTTTAGTTTACCCTCACTCTTGAAGAGTATTTTTGCCAGATACAGAATTCTGTGTAACACCCCTACCTCCTGTGCATACTCCCCCCAACCACAGTGTGTCTGCTTCCATTCACTCTCCAGTATCTTCAAGTAGCTGTTTTTTTCTATTATTTCTAGGTTTTAAAGTTGTTTTCTTTGGAGGAGTCAGTTAGGTGGCCAGCACCATTGAATTTATTGCTTTGATTCCCCTTTCTAACCTGCTTTATTGAGGTATAATTTATGTACAGTAAAACTCAATTCAAAGTATACTGACTTTTAAATAGATTGGCCTAAACACAAATATACCCACATAGTATTTCCAATGTGGTTTTGAGAAAGTTGAACACTATTCAAAATTCGAAGATTACCCAAGAAAAGAAATACCAATCTTGATAGCTAGCTATGTGGGCTTTAAAAAGCGTTATATATGCTCTTCGTACAGTACATTGCTCAAGGACCTCATCATACTCTTAGTAAAACCTAAACCCTATGTTATAAAAAAGGCACTGCAGAGACCTATAATACAAATTAGGTGGAGATTAACTCACCTTTTTTGGGCCTTTTTTCCTTGGTGTGAGATTTTTAACAGCACTTCCCTTCTTAGGGACTGAAGTCTGCCCAGGTGGTTTAATGCGACCTGATTTCCTGATCTGCTGTGTTGGTAGTATTACAGCAGTTTTCTGTGGAGACTGCATTGAATGCTGGGTTGCTTTGGAAAGAGAAGACTGTGTTTTTGCTATATTCTTTGTAACGGGCACTGAGAAAAACAAAAAACACAACATAAAAATAAAACTAAAGTAAATGACACATGTATTGCCTTCTTAGGACTCTAAAGAAATTTAACTTAACCTTTAAAAATATTCCAAAGGTTATTCATTAAAAACCACTTAAAAGTACCATTTAAAGTGAAGTTTCAGGGGGCGCCTGAGTGGGTCAGTCAGTTAAGTGTCTGACTCTTGATTTCAGCTCAGATCGTGATCTGAGGGGTCATGAGATCAAGCCCCACATGGAGTTCCACACTCAGCAAGAGTCTGCTTGAGATTCTCTCCCTCTGCCCCTCCTCCCACTCACACATGTGTGCCTTCTCTCTCTCCCACTAAAGAAATAAAATCTAAATAAATAAATACATACATACATAAAATGAAATTTTAGGTATTTAAGATTTCAGATTATCAGCAAGTAGTCAAATTCTCCAGGAAAAAAAAAATGAAGAGGCTTTTATAAGACAAACCAGTAACCTCCAAACTTAGCATAGTGAAAATTTCCAGCAATTTACATTGTCTGCTTCTCCTATTTTTAGTTCTTAGCCAGAAAAGAGTTTTCCCTTCAGAAAATACCATGCCAAAATATCTAACCACAACGTATGCAGGAATCACTCTTCTCATCAATATAGAAAAACAGAGCAACCACTATCAACTTGTAGTTCGTCTTTCAGAGGCCAGAGGAATTCCCTACACTTGATTTTTAATGGCTCAAGCACATTATGTTCCTATATGTATGTCTAGTAATAAAGCTTCATATACCACAATATAGACTCTACATTAACATTGTCATGGAAGGACCACTATCACGAGCAAGTAAGCCCTATCCAGTCTGAGCATGTCAAATTAACATCTGCCAGGTCACTTTTGCCGATGTTCACAGTCAAGTAAAAAGAGATGTTATTAGTATTAATCTCCTAATAATTTTATTATTATAAAAAACATGAATTTTATATAGTAAGAAGTACTAATGTCAAAAATTCTTTACAGGAAGAATGTGTAAGTACAACATTTATACATTTATGCAAAATTCAACTACTTTTATTTTGAGGGCTCCATTTTACAACTTGAAACTAAACAATTCAACTATGTATGAATCTGACCTTCAACGGAGAATACCACATCTTCCCCGTAGCCTTTTTAATAGAGGTTGTTACTTGCCAAACCAAGAGGAGGAACAGTCTTCTCCCAGCTGCCAGGGCAAAGGGAAGAAAACTTAACTGCCACCACTTTCTCCCCTTATTTACAGTAATTCATGTACCTACCCCAGTCTTCTTACCTCTTTACCATCATCCACCTCATACTCCACACTCACTTCTGCTTTCTTCAGTAATCTCAGTGACCTAATTCACACTATTTCTTCTTACACAGTTTCCTTGTCATCATCTTCAGGAATTTAAACATCATAATTCAATGCTTCATCATTCTGACCTCATCACCAACAGTTCAACCCCTCCCTAAAATGGTTATACTTAGCTATTCTGGAACTCTTCTATCTCCAAAACAACCACTGTGCTACCTTTCTTTACCTCCAATTTTCTTACCTGTCATCTTTGCTTCATACCAATTGACCATGCTTTTTTGCTCATTATGAGATCTAGCCATAAACCCTCTCCATTTCCATTCAATCTATTAACTTTCTTCTGGCTTTACTTTACTCCTTATCAACCTCCTATCCACTTCTAGCAATATCCGTCTAACTAGTATCCCTTACTTTATCACCCCTTGGTCTCTGCTCATGTCTAGCACGCCGGCTCCCACCTCTGAGGCACACTGTCATTTGCTTTCCCTGGCCTTGAGCTGTAGAACATGGGTCAGCAATCTTTTTCTATAAGGAGCTAGATAGTAAATATTTCAGGCTTTCAAGGCCACATACAGTCTCCACCACACATTCTTCTTTGTTTCTTTGTTCTCTTAAATCCTTTAGGAATATAGGGGCGCCTGGGTGGCTCAGTGGGTTAAACCGCTGCCTTCGGCTCAGGTCATGATCTCAGGGTCCTGGGATCGAGCCCCAAATCGGGCTCTCTGCTCAGCAGGGAGCCTGCTTCCTCCTCTCTCTCTGCCTGCCTCTCTGCCTGCTTGTGATCTCTCTCTGTCAAATAAATAAATAAAATCTTTAAAAAAAATCCTTTAGGAATATAAAAACCATTCTTAGCTCACAGGCTACATGGGCTGGATGTGGCTTAGCCCTTGGGTTGCAGTTTGCCAACTCTTGCTTTGGAACATAAGAATATTATTGCTATAAAATCCACACTGACCTCAAATGGGGTGTCACTGCTGCAACTCACTAATTTCCAAGGATGCTCCACAACAGAATGCTTTTCCCTGTTAAAGGTTCCATCTCCTTCTCACTCTATTCCATTCAGCAAATGACCCTACCTTCTACTTTATGGGAAGATTAAAGGGTATCTTTGGGAGTGATCATAACCATCTCACTTCTCCATTTTAAAATGCTTTTATTTTCATTCATTCTCACCTCTTCTTCTTGCATCAAATGAAAAGTCTTGTCTCTACTCTTCTAAGTCCAGTCAATCCCCTTTACTTATCACCTAATAATTATCTTATTTGGTTCCCATGGGACATTATGGTTTCTATGTCCTCCTCTTTCTTCACGGTATTTAATCACTTGATCCCCAACTATTCTTACAACACTCATAAATCCTTTATTTTGAAGTTAGTTCTCCTAGTTTCTGGTATACTTTCAAGCCCTTGCATGAATCGCCTTCTAGTCACTACCAAAATACCAAGAAACAGCACCTATACTAAATACTCCAATTTCCTTATTATTCTGAGTCTTCTTAGCCTCCTGCAATTAGCTTTCCTTCTTACAAACATATTTTATTTTATTTATTTTTTTTTTACAAACATATTTTAAAGAAATTCTTTCCCAGGTCATTAATGACACTTCCCTAGTTACTAAATCCAAATAAATCCTTACTGTCTTGACTAATCTGTTCATCTCCACAGTTCTGGTCTCCACCTCTGAATACACGGCATGAAGAAAAGGAAACAGATTGGGCTTTGGACCTAAGTTTAAATTCTTGCACCAGGTTGGTTTAAGACAGAACCTAAGATAATAGAAGGTCCTCAAAAAATACTGAATGAACAAAAACTATTTTCAACCTGCAAGCCAATGTTATTCCTTTAAAACCAGTATATTCTATATATAATATGTAATTAAGTTGTAATGAATAAAACAGTAACTTGTTGGAACATGGCAACTATAATGAAATCATTATTTGATCTAAGAATTTTGGTGTTTTAAAATTTGAAATTTGGCATTTGAAATTAATAAATGTTAGGACACAAATACTTTAGCTACAGCTTCAAATATTCCCCTAAAATGTAATATTCTATATGAGCCCCTTAATTCATGGTATATACACATGTATGAGCAAAATAAGAAAAAAGCATTATAAAAAATTTCGTGTATAAAAAGAAATTTTCATTTTGTTGATTTTTTAAGATTTTATTTATTTATTTGACAGAGAGAGACACAGCGAGAGAAGGAACACAAGCAAGCGGAGTGAGAGAGAGAGAGAAGCAGGCTTCCCGCTGAGCAGGGAGCCCAATGTGGGGCTCGATCCCAGGACCCTGTGATCAGGACCCGAGCTGAAGGCAGATGCCCAATGACTGACATACCCAGGTGCCCCAAGAAATTTTCACTTTAGAAAGCAAGCTTTTCAAAGGCAAATACTCAGTTTCATTTACTGTCATGTCCTCAGCACCTAGAACAAAATACTTTTTCAAATATTTTAACTAAAGAGGAAAGAGTAATCATCCAATATATTAGACATCAAAATTAAACTATACATTATACATGTATTTATCTCCAAAAAGCAATCCTATAACATATACACTATGCTGAAACTCTATTAAGTATTAATTAAATTATTTCCAATACAAAATAAATTTGTTTAAATGATAAGGTTCAAATTATATCTAGCACTATAACCGTGTGTTCATAGTGGCCACAAAGTGAGTAAAAACCTTTTTTGACAAAAGTATGTGAAATATATAGAAGGATATACTAACCATCTTTAATAAAATTTTTATGTGAATACCTAACACAAAACCTACCTGGTTCTTCAGCTTATCTTCAGATAGAACAGAGAATGTTCAGCTAAGAAAAATATCCAGGAGATGAGAAGTTAGTGAATTGTGGAAATGCAAAAGAAATTAAAAGTCAAGAGGAGGCCTGGAAGCCTGGAACAGGGGGAACTCCAGAAAGGAAACAGATGCCAGTATTTTTTGGCTACCCATTACATGCTAGGCATTTCTATATCTGCTATCCCACGTCATCCACCCAAACATCCTATGAGGTAGGTATCGTTTCCCCACTTTCTACATGAGGAGACTTGGGCTCTGTGGGGTTAGATAATGTAGCCAAGATCACTCATTTGGCTAAGAGAGTTTGGTCTCCTAAGTGCATACTTTTTCTTATATGCTGCCTTGCTTTCAGCAAAACAGGCTATTAAATTCACTCCCCTGAGTCACAGTGCACATGTTTACAAAAAGGAGGAGGAGGGACAAAAGACAACCTTGTGAATTCCTACGTGATCCTTCACTAGAGTCCACAGGTACTCTCTGACAGAGGGAGTCTTCGGGTTTTAAAAAAACAGATGTAGAGGCATACAAAGAGAAAACATTAACAAGTACAGAAAAAACAGGCTGGTAAAACTTTTCATGTCTGGGTATTTAACCTTATTTAGTGTTTATTTCCAAATAACACTCATTAAATATACATTTCTGCTAACATATGAAGAAGTTTTATTATTGAAAGACAGTGCTTGCCTTCTTTGAATTGTGAAAAGACACCTGTACATACAATTACCACAGAAAAGGAAATACACTTAGAAATGAACAGCAACTTCCTATTTTCAGCTACTGTTACATATGTGCTGGTTTAGCTTAAACAAGGCTGAGTTGAACCTAAACAAAAATGGATTGGAGATATAAATTAATATGTATCTTGCTTTTGATCTAAAAAGACTTA